GTGGGTGGTGATGGTCGATAATGGTGGCGGCTATAATTGAGGATGATGGTGGCGTGGTGGTGGTGGAGGTGGTGGTAGTAGTGGGGGTGGGAGTGGTGGTTGAGTATGATGGTAGTGGCGGTATGGTGGTAGTTGATAATGTTAGGTGGTGGCGGCAGTTAATAATGAATATGTGACAGCATCTTAATGAAATTAAGTCTCTGTTACAGATCTTAATCATACAGACCTATCCAGACCCATTAAGTGGTTGTGAAGTAAAAAAAACAAACACACTTAATGATTAAGATTTGAATAATTAAGATTCAGACTTAAAAAACAAACGCACTTAATGTCTTGAGATGTGAATGATTAAGATTCAGACCTTTATTAAGTGCAAACAAATGAGGCCTAAGACATATTCTACTCCTACTACATATGAGACAATGATTATTTACACATAACTATGTAATAGTACTGATTTAGCGACCTGTTAGTCGCTGAGTTGTGGAAAAAAATTCTTACCACATTCTGCTGTTCCTTGCTTATGTTTTATCCTTTACGTGATCATCTATATCATTACATTGTCGTCACAATCATTCGCTTTACCTCTTTCCTCAGTGATATCCAATCTAGAGAAAATAAAAAACTCATAGGCCTTATATCTTTGTTGTTCTTCCTCATTCTTTTGACATCAGGTTTTTGTCTCAAAACACACAATAAGGAAACCTTTTCCGAGATCCTTTGCCTGTGCGCCTTGAAGCCTTTACTCTTTAGTTCCAGCGGCATATATGTCTACACACCCAAGGTGCCAAGTTTCTATCAGCCATGTCAGCACACCATCCCTGTCCCCTGTTGTGTCGGTGCTGTTACATTAACAATAGAGTTTCACTTTATTAGTGGACTGTGCAACTTGTATTCCTAACTTGATTGGTCAGCTTACATGGACTTCTGAGTTCTGATAAGACAAGCTGTTAGCACACCATCCCTGTCCCCTGTTGTGTCGGTGCTGTTACATTAACAATAGAGTTTCACTTTATTACTTTAACCATTACATGAACATCCACGTCAGCTGATATGTCAAGCTAACAGCTTGTCTTATCAGAACTCAGAAGTCCATGTAAGCTGACCAATCAAGTTAGGAATACAAGTTGCACAGTCCACTAATCATTGCCACAACATCACCCTGCTGCGTCATTGGTCTACATCAGGCGGCTGGTGAAGTCAGCATCCACTTTAGCAGATATGTCAATTCTATTGTTTACATTAGTCTAGCAAGTATTCCATGTCAGCCAACATGTCGAGTTAGTCAACTTGAGTCTTGTCCAGTTATCAAGTCATTACCAGATCGTCCAGTTATTATGTCACACTAGCATGCAGAATCAAGTCAATCAACTACGCCTCAACATCAAACTAGAATGCATGTGTTTGCTGGGAGTCAGAAGCTGTTTTTTTCAGTTCCCCTTTTCACAGTCTATTTGTCAAATACTCTCTGAAGTCCAAGAATCAAGTACACATTTGGTTTATCTTGCAGTGCAGATGTATATGCTCTAGTTTGAGGGTGTTTATCAGAATTGTATCGTATACTCTAGGTTAAATGTGTAGTATAATTCCTAATTAGAATTCTTTCTTTATAAAAAAGAGGAGATGTAGAATTTTTATTATTAATGAACTTTTCTTTTGGGGAACTTCTCAAAATATCAGTGATTTTCCTAGTTAGGAAACTTCTCTTGTTTCGTGTTGTCAAAACTCATATATAATGAATCCTACGTATGTTCATAACCAATATTCATTAAAAGTTTTCTCCTGTTTCACATGTTCCATAGCAACATTGAGTTACTTTGTTAACTTTTCAGTGATAACTGCATATTGATCAGCTTCCAGAGGATGAAATTTATGTAGGTGGATGGGTATTAGTGGAAGAGCACACTCGTTTATGTTGTCTCTAGTAGGTCAGTAGGTGTTAACACCACTATATGGATTTCAATGCCTTGATGCATTTTAAGACTATTATGGGAGTAGAAACTGGACAGTAATCTGAATACTTCTATTTTTAGAATAGATCTGTAATAGCATGTATTCATTAACAAAGTCACCCAGACTGTTTAGTTGACAACTCTTTCCTAACCTTTGCTAAAACAAGTTTGCATGTACTTACAAGCTATAATTGCCCGTCTTATGGTTTCCCAGAGGCGTGCTGTCTATGATGCATTATTACGGTGTGCAAGGCCTACAAGGTTATGGGATCTCTATGCATTTGCCGGTGGCCATTCCAGGTTTAGTAACACGAATCCCAAAGTAAGGCTGTTGAATGAGTACTGCCGACTTCTTGGGATGGGGTTCTGTCAAGCTTCTATCCGTGCTATTGAAGATGGGTCATTCACACTCTCAAATGAGTATTGGAGAATAAGCAGTGTGAACTCTAATTACACAATGTCTCCAACTTATCCATTTGCTTTACTCTTACCAAAGTCCATAAGGTGAGGTGATGTTTTTTGCTCTGCCATTTTTTCTGGGTTAAGTGATGATTATTTTGGCATTTACCTAATGACTTTTCATACATAGTGATGACAAAGTGCTGCAGGCTTGTACATTCCGTGCACGGTGTAGGCTGCCAGCCATAACATGGTGTGACAGAGGTGGGCCTAAATTTAGCTGTTTGAACTCATTTGCCTTGATCTTCTTAGGCCAGTGCTTATGCTTTGCATCTGTTAGGAACTGGGGCTGTTCTTGCACGTTCTTCTCAGCCGCTAGTTGGCCTCATGATGAATATGAGAAGGTTATTCCAAATTATGTGATCCTTTTTCTTTTATGAATTTTTGTATTAGTTTATTGTCGTGAAAAACAAGTTGGCTGTTAAAAATTTATAGTAGTTTGTGTTTCCTCGAGTTATTTTAAAAAGAAATCTTGTGCTTTTCTCCAGCAATGCAGATGAGAATCTAGTTGCTGCACTGTGTACTCAAACTGCTGGAGAGAAACGGAGGTGTTCCTTTTACTACTTCCTTTTATTTCACCTAATCTCTAAGATGTCTTCTTGATTAAATTTCTTGTTGTTAAGCATTATGAGTAAGTTTCTTGCTATGTGGCTAGTTAAAGGATCCCTTTCAATTCCTTCCTTGGTCTGGTCATAAAAATACTTCTGTCTTGTTTCTTTTATTGTTGTTACTTAACTCCTTTTAGATAGTTCCTTTTTGATGAATCACTCCTTTTAGATAATTGCATAGTTTCATGGCACAGCTGACTCTCTCTTATTTATTGATATGCTCTTTATTTGTCTTCTCAGGAAGCTATATATTGCTGATGCAAGGCCCAGGAAAAATGCTTTAGCAAATGGGGCAATGGGAGGTGGATCAGAGTCATCTGCAAACTATTTTCAGTCTGAGGTCTGTTTAATTTTTGAGCTGTCTCTTTTGCTGCTCTTTCCTTCATGATACTCCCTCCACTCTGTTTTAAATGGCACTCTTTCTTTTTATTATGTTCCAAAAAGAATGACACTTTCTATGTTTGGAACTCTATAACTTTAAACCTGTAAAATTTTACCCTTAATGACATGCTCTTATAGACATAAAAATGTCATGACATGTTTAAGATCACAAGTTCTAAGGGTACTCTTGGTATGTGCCGAAAAACCAAACTTTCTGAAACTTCATATAAAATCAAACACCTCCATATTAAATGAGAAGGAGGGAGTATATCTCTCCCTAATTATTTCGTGGACTGATGTTGCTTGATTTACATGTCTTGTCAGATTGTTTTCTTTGGCATCGATAATATACATGCAATGAGGGAGAGTCTTGGTCGGCTTAGAGACTATTTAGATACTCATGGTACTACTTCATCAGATGGAATGTCATCTTTTCTGGTATGCCGTTAATCTTTCTGAAAAATATTCTTTCATGCCAAATGCCCACTATTTAGAACTTTAGTCTTGACCAATCAATGCACTCGGGGCACCAAACCAAACAGAGATTTGAATTAAGGTGGCAGGACCTAAGAGAATTTCTGTTGAAAGTGATTCAATTTACCTGCTTGTGACTAGTTATTGCCACACCAAGGCTATGGGTGCATCCAAACATTTTGAATCATATTAGTCTTTGTGTCTGATAAGTTCAAGTGTAACAAATTTCCAAAAGATTTGAGACATATTTTGAAGCCAATCTGAATTCTGAAAGTAATCATGGTCAAGTCACAGTGGACTCCTCTATTTACTGTCCTTCCACGTCTTTTCCTTTTTTGTTTTTTAACTTGCAGTCTGTGCTATATGCACATTCAATATATATAAAGGAGTTGAAATCAAGAATGGGATTTTTTCCTGGTTGGGTGGGGAGGGGAATCTCCAAGTAAAGAAAAGTACTGTTGGCAATGTCCTTGAACCATTAATAAGTTTTGAGTTTAGATGCTTGCAAGATGTACTATTTTCCCTGTTTCTCTTCTCTTCTAATTATCTATGATATCAGTATCAGTGATCCAACCAGAAAGCCACTTCATAGGTAAGGAACTGACAAAATTGATGTGGAGCGTCTGTCCATCNAGACACTGGGTGGTTAATACATGTTCAAACTGTCCTGGCTGGTTCTGCTTGGATTGCTGCACGTGTTGCACTAGAATCAGCTTCCGTTCTTGTTCATTGCAGGTTTCTTGTCTTCTGGACCATTCTTATGCTTATAAATAAGTCTATATTCTATAAATGCCTAAGTGGAGAACTTTGTTAAATGCTTGAGTTCCTTGTATTTGTGTTTCTGTTGATTCCTCCTTGGATATTTTATCATTATGTACCTATTAGTTGGGACTATATCTTAGTTACGTTAGTATGTTTGCTTTTAGGACTTATTTTTTTCACGAGTCTTTAGTCCTATTGGAGATTTATATGCCAGTGATATAGAGAAGCCAACCCCAACTTTGCTTTGGCATTAAGGCGTATTAGTTCTTGTTTTATGTACAGGTTCTTAGGGATATGGTCACCTTTCAGCAAATTACCGTGGAATTTGTTGAGCAACTAGAGTGTAGAACGAGAGAAAGACAGACTTGTGACATAATGAAATTTCTTGTTGAATGAGCAAGGGAGAAAATCTGGGTCAACAACAGTCATTTTTATTTGGTGAATGAAACAGTTCTGAGTCTTATTTTCTATGTGATTGCTTTCTGCATTTGTTTTCCATAAGACCTCTCCATAACTAGCCCAAGTAGAGAGAATAGTGGGGAGTACGTAGTTGCAATTCAATGGTCTGATAGCACATTAAAGCTAACTATATTTGTTTTAAAAGCGTTAGTTTTGTGTTAAACAGGAGAAAATGTTGTTATCTATCATCTTCAGAAAAATTTGACTTGTCATTATCCTCTGGAACTGAAACAAATGTGTATGCCATTAAATATTATGCTGAGAGTAGTGTTATCAAAGGCGAAAAGCGCAAAAGAGCTTTAAGGTCCGTGGGCTTTAATGAAGAAAGGCACAAAGGAGAAAAAAATACAAATATGTATGTGTAGTCCAAGACTAATAATTGTAAGTATGAATAACAAACATAGGGACAAAGAAATTGAAAAAAAATGCGATAAAGTAAAATATCAATTGTTTAGTGTCGCATCCTCAGGAATACACTCATTATCAAGGAAAAGTATACCTTAGAGCCTTGATGATGATATTGAAGTGCCCGCTAAGCGAGGCGAAGCGCTCAACATGTTTTGCAACTCACTTCAAGGCTTAAGCGCGCCTTTGACAACTCTGGATGAGACTTTCATGGAAGTCAGTCTTCACTTAAATGCGCTAATTTAGCTTGGATACTCTCAGAAGTTTTATCCATACCATGTCAATTTAATACAATGGAGTGTTCTAGTTTGCATTTTACTTGTTGAAAAATATTTTTTACGTATCAGATTTACTAAAAAATGGCAAAATAAATTTTGATCAAAACTAGTGACTGTCGGGGTTTAATACATTTTGCTTGGAATTCTTTACAGCAACAATGAATAAGTATGTATTCCTTCCTCCAACTAGTTGGAAGTGGAGCATCTTGGGTGTATTGATCTTTATGCCAAAAAGAATTGATGTGGCCACTCACTCATTCCCCTCATAGAAAAAACTATTATCCTATTTTCTGTTTTTGTCTCTGCCTCCTACATAAATTAAGAGCACTTGATAAATTTTATAAGGTTGAAGTTTCTTTATCTTCTTTCTTTTTCTTTTTTGAAAAAAAAAATGGTGGTGACTGGACCGATTTGTGTGCACCTCTATTTTTTCATCGGGTACCTGCTATCTCTAGTAGCACATGTATCGGGTAACTCTGCCTACCAAGGGTTAGTATCTTTATCTAGTGAAGGTTGAAAAGTTCATTCTATTTGTAATAGGGAATAGTAATAAATACAGATGATATCTTTTATTTCTGCCACCAGATCACACAATTATTTACAGACATATTTAGGAAGCTTCACTCTTTCAGATGCACAAACTATTTAACAGTAGATATAACTTATAGCAAGCATCAATGACGTTATCCTTGAGGTGAGTCGGCAATAATAAAAAATCTCAAAGAAGGTGACAGGCAGTACATTAGCATTGGCATGGTACTTTTAGAAGAAAAGGCCATGCAAGCCATGGACGTCGAAGGATTTGATCATATTCGAAGACTTGAAAATCTGGTTGCTTCGGGTTAATTGGTTTGCAAAGATATTAGAAGAATGCTTACCTATCAGAAAAAAGAAAAAGATATTAGAAGAATGCATAACTTGTTCGCTGATATACCTGGTGTTATTGCTAAAACCACTGAAGTGGATGTTCCATAATTTTTACCTTTTTAACAGTACTAATTCTATCTGTTTCTCTCAAAATATTGGAAATTACCTATAGCATTCAACTGGTCGATCTAATAAATTAAAACATCAGTGATGACAATTAAAGCTAATTGTCAGTTGAACCTGCAAATGGTTTGCATCGACTTCTTCAACTGACAAGTGGTTCAACAAGTATTGCATTGTGAAACTATTTTGGCCATAGCTTTCAGCACATTTTATGACTTTTAAATATTTGTATGTTTCCTTTTTATCCGAATGGCAAATGTACACACGACAATGGTACTTGTTTACAAATGACCAAAAAACTTTCCTAGCTCATATTTATTTATCCAACTGATGATTTATTGTATGAAGCTCATGAGTTCTTAAATTGATTTTGCATATATATCTTCGTCAGAGACTATCAGTAAAGAGTACATCTAGTTTTTTTTTATTCTTTTTAAAAACGGAATTTCATTCTGCAGCGATGGATGGGATCGAACTACGCAATTGGTCTCACTTGCCAGCTTGCTACTTGACCCATACTATCGTACAATTAAAGGATTTCAGGTACTGAGACTTGTTTGGATCTATCTGCTCATATTACCTGGTATTTAACATTTGTAGCCTTGTTTTTTTCTTCTTCTTGGAGTGTAAAATACTTCATCCACATGAGATCATTAAGGTCTGTGTTAATGCTTCAGTACGTCATTTTACTCCTGACAATGCTAGAAGGATTTAACATTTAAGTGGGGCATCCCATACCCCTTGGTTATATACAGACAGCTGTCTAAGTTGTTCGAATCATCCAGGCACTTGTAGAGAAAGATTGGCTTGCATTTGGTCATCCATTTTCAGATCGTCTGGGAATGCCCACTATATCTGGAAGTGGCAACATGCCGTTTGAATTATCTCGTCAGGCTTCGACTGGAAGTTTACCTTCATCACCCATGCGGCAAGTGTCAGGGTCATCCTCATCTCAAGCTCAAAATTCATCTCATGCACAGAACCAAAATTCCCCCATTTTCTTGCAGGTACGTCTTCCGCATGCGGTTCCGAGTTCTACCTTTTGTTTGGAGATTTACGAGCGTACAATCTATTTGATCTTTTTATATTAATTTTATTGTGTTTGACAAAAATATCCCCTCTCTCTCTCTCTCTCTCTCTCTCTCTCTCTCTCTCTCTCTCTGCTTCTTCATCTTTTACCCCTTTTTTTGTTTCCGTTAATCTTTTAGCTCTAACTTGTTATATTTGGATGCCTTATGCAGTGGGTTGACTGTGTTGCACAGTTGTTAAGGATGTACCCTTTTGCCTTCGAGTTCTCTTCGGTACGTGTTGCTAAAAGACATGAGAGTCAAATAAGAGTGTGTGTATATATATATATATATTCCAATAAATTGATAATTTACGTCCTTGGAGATTTTTAAAGCTTCCTATCTTTCAATTCCAACAATACAGGCTTTCCTGGTGGATCTTCTGGATTGCATGCTTTCTTGCCGTTTTGGAAACTTTTTGTGCAATAGGTAATCTCGTTTTGGTAGTATTTTGTTTTTCACTTTCATTTTCGTACACATGCGTTTGTTTGCGGAACCCGAAGAAGATGCATTCTATTAGAAGTTGAGGTGCTTGTTTGATGCATTGATATGAGTTCCTGGTAGAAGGGAATCGTATTATAGTAAATGCACCTGAAGAAGAAGAGTGTTTGTTCTGAGGCATCTGTCATGATACCTGAACTAGAACATTAGATTTCTTGGGAGGTGCATGCTCCCTATTGGCTTTGTCATGACTCTCCCTCTGTTTCTACATGGTTTGTCTTTTGGGATTGCATTTTCTTTCTAAAATTTATGTTCTCTTCTTTTTGTCTTCTGTTCAAGTGGAGAAGTCATATAGAAGAGATGATGTCTGGTTTATATAGTGTCTTACATGAAGAACACTCTTTCAGGTAAGTGGTATGTCTGGAAAACTAACCCTCTTTGGGTGCCACCTGGAGAGGGGCATTGAGAAGAACAGTGAAGTAAAATGGTTCAGTAGGATGGTTGTACAACCGGCAATGTTAGATAGAAGTGAATGTTAAGCCCTAAGTTCCAAAATATCCACAAGATGAGTATCCAGAAATACAAGTGTTTAGATGGTATAAGATGAGGTAATATTAGAAATTATCACATTCGATAGAAGGTGCAACTCGGCCACAGAAAGAAATGAGAGAAGGTTGCTTGAGATGGTTTGGTCATGTCCTACGTGGACCTCCAGATCCAGTCCATAGGTGTGAAACCGTGTGATTGAAGGTGTTAAAAAATGATCAAGTAGGCCAACAATCACATGAAAGAAAATCGTCTCAAGAGACGTACCATCTATTGAAATCCATGCAGAAATAGTGAAACAAAAAGACAGTGAAAAAAGGGTCCTTATAGGCTATACCAATTAGTATAGATTAAGCTTTAGTCATGCTAGTACGTCTATTTTAGGTCCAATGTTTGCTAGGAGCTTTTTGTTCTGGTTAGAGATTTGTATGCCAATAGAAAATATAGAGATCTAGGTACATAACTTCTAATGCTAGAGAACTTAAAATTTTAAAGTATTGTATTAAGATAGGTCTAAATAGAGTGACATGGATGATCAGGATAATATGACCCAACTAGTTCAGTATTGATGTGTAGTTCTTGTGATTGAATTTATTTATTTTTTTCGTTTAATTGAATTTATTTATTTTTTTCTTTCTTTTTTTCCTCCTTGCCATGTTTGATTACACTATATTAGAAGTTGGATTGCTCGTTCGACATAAAAGGAGTGGTAATTTGTCATGTGTGCATGAAAAAAATATTTTTTTCTTATCTCTTCTTTGCTTTTCTCCTTTTCTTTGGGGGGAGGGAGGGGTCTTATTTATGCTTTTATGATCAGGATTTACAGCTATTGAGCACAGTACAAGGCTTTGACACCTCAGTGGTTTTTTGGCTTTAGGTTGTTTTGAACTCCATCATGGGATAGAAAGGATTTTTTTTAATGTCGTTTCCTAGTTTTAGCTCACTTCTTCTGACTTCTACAAATTTCAGCGAGAAGGAAAGAGAGCAAGCTGGTATTTCTGATGCTTGTGGATGCCTGTATATGTATTTAGCTGAACTACGGGCATCGGAAGGAAGCTCTCATGCGCATTACAACCTGTTCTATGACCCGTTGAAACATGATGGTCCGTTACTACCACCAGCAGCAGCTTTAGCTCCAACTGTTTGGCCTCAGTTTCACCTTCGTTGGGCTTGCCCGTCGGAGGCACAAGGTGGAGAAGTTGAGGCAGAATGCAGGAAGCTGACGAGAAAATTCTCTGAGCTGCAAAGGGTAAACTCTCTCTTTTTTTTCTCTCTGCAGACTCCTTTCTTCTCGCCCTCTCCGAAAAGGAAAAAAAAGGTTTCCAGCTTGAAACTGCAAAGTGCATCGTAACCCAGATATGCCATTTTAGTGTTGACAGACTAATTACTATGGTCGTATCAAATTTGGCTTGTAGAGTTTCATGAGATTAATTATGACAATGAACTTCGCAACAAAATCTAGGCTAAGTTACTTCCAACCTACAAATAATTGACAAGCATAGTTTTCTATCTTTTAGTGTTGCCTGTCGATGTCGCTTGACAGTTACATCTTAATTTTGTCAATTCAAGCTAGAACTTGGTGCATACATTGATTTCTGATTCGTCACTCCTTTATTAACTGTCTAAAAACAACTTTTACACAGGCAAAAGAAGCAGCAGAAACAAGACTGAACGAAATAAGTGTCACAGTGGAGTCCTTAGTTACAGAATTGAGAAATGAGAAACTTGTGAGCACCTCTGCCAGGGATGCTGTAAAAAGAGCCAGCAAAGAAACTGCTACTATAAAGCGTGCGGTACAATCTTTGGGTTTTAATGTCTATTTTTCAGTAGATGGAGACTGTAATGTATGCATTGAAAGCAACCCAACAGAAATTCCTCAGCGTTCTGTCTGCTCAGTTTCTACAACAAATTCTAATGGTTCAGTACATGGCAGTGAGAAATCAGACCTCTCTGAACCTGTTACAGTGATGCAAGATGATGTTTCCGACAATCCTCTCATCCAAGTTTGTGAATCGTTGTGCCCTATGCACAGTAGAGACAGTGGGTGCAGGTGGCCAAATCCTGGTTGTGCCAAGTTTCGGAGCCAATTTGTTGGTTTGAAGGCCAACTTTGATGCATTTGATCGCCTTCCGATATACGACAATTATTTCGGAACTTAAAAAGACGGTTGAACCAAGCCTACTTTCTTGCTTCAAACTTCATTTATCTGGTCAGATATCTATGTACAGTCAGAAATTGAATGGAGGCAGTAGGTTCAATTGTATTTTGGCAAAAAATTACGACAAACAAATTAGATAAGCAGCAACAGGCACAGCTTAAACCTGGTGGCTGTTAGATGAGATGGTCTCAGAACTGTACATAGGAACTGATAGAGTTTTCATGTGGACCATCTGATAGTTTTGACATTGTGAGAATCTCACGTGAAGATGATTATAACTGATATTGTATGCTTAGGAGTTAGGACTGATGATGTAGGATTTTGGTCACTGCAATTTCCTCATTCGAGTGTATATTACGACGTAGGTATTCCTCTTCCTAAGTTTCTATAGGGATTCTTTCTGCATTCTTGTAAATAAGGACAAATAATGATGAGTTCTGAATAAAATGGTTCCAGCAGACTTCTATCTGTGTGTTGTGTGGTGCATTTCTGCTTAATAACTATTTGCTATTTTTATACTGGGGCTGTCCACCTGTTGAATTTTCTGCACATGTTCCTGTTTACTAATTTAAAGTAACTGGAATTTTGGTTTTTATTTCTCATCTTTCTTTTGATTGGGAGTGTATAATGGACGACAAGTGTACAGGTCGCAAGTCGCAACATCGGATGAACTGTAACATTTTGTCGTTGATAATGTGGTTCAGGAATAAATCTTGTGGAACTTTGACATTGCTATGTTGGAGGCTGTCTTTGGGTCCTAGACGTAGATATGTCAGATGGTCTCGCCCTAGCTTCAACCCCAACTCTTTCTTGCCTTTTTCCTTAGTCTTGAGGAGGAACACAATTTGTCTTCTCTTGTTGCAAAATGTTCTTTTGAGCTTGTAGCTCGGTTTTTTCCCTTATTATATGGTGAAAGCAAAGGTCATAAATGAAAATGGATCTCTCAGTCTCATTTCCTGGCTTTCTGTGAACAGACTTAGGGACGATTTTTTTGTTGGTATATTACTGAATGTAAATCAAACATAATATGAGGAAAGTCAGATTGTTAAGCGATTTGTATCATCGAATTCACACAAGTGCGGTATAACAGTTTAAATTTTGTAATGCATTTTGAGTTCATCAACTCATCTCATGTATTTGAAGGCAATTAATAAATTAACTTCAAGATATTCGAATTTTGTTAATCGAGCTGCAATCTGAGCCACTTACCATGAACAAGATGATAAGAGTAAGCCTTCCGCTCTCCCAATATCCTGTGCTCAAGAGCACTACTTTTTTTCATAAGAAACACTTATCAAGCTGAATCACTTTACGAGCTTACAACTACTCATCAGCAAATCCTGGACTCACTTTAGCAATTGAAGAATTATCAAAAATAGCCAACACAGGTTGCATAAAATGCGGACCAGAACATTGATGTAGCTTGATTCAGGTTTTTACAGTTAATATTATAAAACCACAACTGTGACTTTGATCCTTTACAAGGCTCACATAAACCTATCTCCACAAGTATTCACTCTTCGCTTTCTCCCATCTAACTTGTGGCAACACAAGTGTCAACGTCTAGTCTTGACTGGGAGGAGGTTCGTCATTGGATGGCCTCCCATTTCCACGACGTTCATTCCACCTTGTCCAAGCCCATCTTAAAATAAAGAACCCGCCGATAGCATAAACCTGAGTTCAGATATAGTGCAGAAAATTCAGGCAGGAGAATAAGAAAAGGCAGCAGTTCAGAAAAGAAGCAAAATCTTGAGATGTGTAGGGGCACAACATTTTACTTGTTGAAGACATGATTATTCACCTCTTTCAAATTTATACAGCTAATGTTTTAGAACATAGAACATACAGTTCACAGTAGTCTTACTATTATTCCCATGTATGGTTCACAGCAGTCTTACTATTCACAGTGGTTCAGATTTATTTACCTCTTTCTTTATTATATAGCTAGTGTTCTATAACATATATCAGCACTACCTTTCTTTTTATTTTTCAATGAAATCAATGAAAAGTTGCAAATTACTCAGTTGAGGTACTTATGGACCTCAGCGATTACAATGTTCTCTTTTCTTTCTAGTCCGGAGAATGTACACTGCACTTAAAAGGTGCTTAACTGTGGAGCTTTATCCAAAAAAGAAAAAGAGTGCTTAACGGTGGAGAATATAAACTGCTACTACTGTAAACATAATATACAATAAATATTTCCTAACATGTCTCAAATTATGAAGGCTAGTCTGATTATAGGAATTCATATTTTGTCCTCAACGCTTTCTCTTTGACACAATGTCTCAAAAAACAATGTTACATAGGCCAGTGCTAGTACCAAATCCAAAATGTTGGTTTTGTGAGAAGGGGTGTCTCATAACGTTTCTCCATAACTCAGAAGTGAAAGCAGAGTATCATGGAAAATAATCATCGATTATCTGATTAAATAGCATGGCATACCACTACAAAAGCTTTTTAAAAGTTCATCTTACCACAAATTTTCTTTCGTATGGTATCCTCAAAACCAAAACAAATAGGTGAGATTGCTAGTAGCAAAAGTTCTATAGAAGGCATGGTATTACATAGGCACAAGTTCGTCTGCTCAGACATTTGAACATATTCAATAACAGACTCAAAGCACAAAGAGTGGAATACCCAGAACAAGGTAAAGAATCAAATTTTATTTTCAATTACACAAGGATTTTCCAGTGAACAAAGAATGCCAATATCTCCACCTATATTCCCAGCAAAGGCCAAAAATTCCATCCACAGTACAAATGACAAGCTAGCCAGATACATGGGCAGATGTACCTTATGGGTAGATGGTGTGGGGTTACCACTTCCTTCAGATTCAAATTTCGAATATACAGTTGAAAGACTTTATAAGAATATATATCTATTCTAAGACCACGTCAATTGTCACAAAAGAAGTAATGTGTGCAATTTCAACTATATGAAGACGAAAAAAGGGAAAACGAATTTATTTACCTTACACCGTTATTCAGCCTACCTTTTTTTTAATAACATTGGTAATAAAGCCAGCCATTCCACCTGGTAGCTTCTGCCTCCGCCGTCACATATACAGAGTAACACTGCCACCAACACTTAAACAGAAAAGAAATCACCTACATCTTTTGTATTTTTTTTGTCTTTTTTGGGAGTTGAACCCTGGTCAAACGTTTGCACCACTTTATTCACCATTAGGCCACACCCTTGGGTGCTATTCATCCTTCCTTAAAACAGTGTCGTCACATATACAGAGTAACACTGCCACCAACACTTAAACAGAAAAGAAATCACCTACATCTTTNTAGCACTTCATACTATTTTTCCGATCCGGTTTCCTAGTACCTTGCCATTGTTAGTGATTACTGATATTGCTTTTCCCATTTATTTTTCTGATTCTATCTTTTTGGCCTTTGCTGATGTTACTATTCTATTATCTCTTTTCATCTTTTTGTACTAAGGGTCTATCGGAAACAACCTCTCCACCCCACAAGATAGGTGTAAGATTTGCGTACACGCTACCCTCCCCAAACTCCGCTTGTGGGATTATACTGGTTTGTTGTTGTTTGTTGTTACTTTATCGAAACCTGCTTTTGCATATTATTCTTACAATACTAATGACACTCATTTGTAGCCCAGCCATTAAATAAGTCAAGGATATACTCCAACAATCAGTCAAACATCCAAAGCTCACACATGCAAAACAACAGTTTCTCCGAACTAGATAGGGTTTACAAAATAATTTGATTAAATACTTGCAAGTTGTATAGAAACCAAATGGTGCTAAACATTTTTGGAATACCTGCCACAAAACGACGGGGTTAGTATCGGGTTCAGCCCCTTCTGATTCGAGCTTCAAAGAAGGCAACTCCTGACGTGGAAACTTCACTACAGCAGGGTTTTGCTTTTCCTCTTCACCTGAAACTTCAGTTGGTTTGGCCTCTGAAGTAGTAGCAGTGGGTTCTATCTTCTTCTTATTGGGTAGTGGCGGTTTGAAGAGCTGAAGGAAACTGCAGAGTAATGAGAAAATTGGATTATTGTTGGGTTTGTCATCTTTTCCAGCATCTGGGTTCGGAATTGAGTCATTGGAGATTGTTGTTGTGGTTTCCGCCATAGCCAATTTGGAGTTTTTGACTTTGGGAATTACGTTGGTTACAACAATATATATCAAGGGCAACGAACGAGAAATTACGGGATTTTTGTGGAACAAACGGGTAACGGGTATGGACCTGGATACTTCTTTAATTATTTTTTATTGCCGGTCATATTCATTATTTACTTTTTCTAGTTATATATATAATTTATACTTTTATTATACACAATTACGTGTATATAATACATAAATAATGCATATATATTATACCTCCACCTGTTATTTTTAGTTTAAATGGTTAGGTGGACGACTATTTAGGTTAATTTTTCTAATATTAATTATAGACGGTATTTGCTTTGATTCTTTAAAACTTCTTGTAAGTTTCCTTTTTGGTTTAAGTTTTGCGCACGATATAAAGTGTGTTAGACCATAAGGTAAATTAAATGGAAAATAACATTATATAGTGATGATGTCCACAACACACCTCAATGAGAGATATGATATGATCGTAGGCAATAATAATTATCCAACTAGGAGTTGGGGTCGAATCCACTGAGAGTTATGAGGGGTGTTAGGGGTATATATTTGAAATAAGCAAATGAGTTATCTAGAAAGAATATCCACAATACAGTTTTATTTTCTACTTCTATTGTTAATCTAATGATAGCAAGCTAAAGAATATACACTAGATATGAATGTTTTTATGGTTTTTCCAAATGGTTTAAAGGCCTAGGGGTGACCATAACCTAGGTGTTTGCTTAATGGGATAAAGATGTTAATGCTTGTTTTGTTGATTGGGGTATTATAGCTCACAACTCTATATTACCCACTCAATATCTTTCGGTCAAAGAGTGATTTTGCCCAATTTGACTTTCTCAAGTCCAAATGGGTATCAACCAAAACAGTTGATAAGAGCTCAAGTCGGGTTATTACTATATCTAGGTTGAACCCTTTAATTAGGTTAATCAATCTCTCAATTAACATAATTCCTTGTTAGCTAAGTTATCCTAAACTAGGTCCCTCTTTCTCAAGTAGAGACTAAGTCAATTAGGCATGAATTAATGTTTGCAACCATTAATTCTACAATTGAAGCATGAACTAAGCTAAATAATCAACATCCAATCATAAACAAGCACTAAATTAGATACCCATAAGGCTTACACACTAAAGTTGGGTCACAACCCTAGTAAAAATCTAGCTACTCATAATGGAATTGCAGAAAATAAAGAAGAAAACCTAATTAAACTCATAATCGAAGAATAAAATAATGAAATCTAATGTTAAAATACCCAAATAAGATAAAACTTCCTAAAATAGTTATAAAAAACGACTACAACAACTTTTGAAGTTCAAACTTGACCTAATTTTGTGAAACTTGTCTATTTATAC